ATTTAATAATATATTATGTGACATACACTATAGCGAATTTGATTAAAAAGCGGTTTATTATCTTTTATTATTAACAAACAATCTCACACATCGTCTAAAATAATAGAAACTCGCGTATTATTATAGTTCTCTTAGTTCTTTATAACAAGTAACTGCTTTATTTTGCCCCAGTCAAGGCAACACGATTTTTGAATGTTTCTTGACCACCTCTATTCCTAGACTGTGAGAGAGCCATATCAACTGTCTGTTCATCCATAACAAAGAAGAAAAAACTTTCTTCGTTTTAATCTGACTAATCATTACCCCTACACGAAAATCCACAATATAGCGATTTCGCACTACATACACTATATAGAGGCGCTCTGGACTAAAGCATATTTCCTCCACTAACCGAAATCTGCATAGTTTCTATATAAATACACTATATAGAGCTAGTTTAATTAGGAGGGAAAAAAGTTTCCAACATTTCTCTACAATAACTGAAATTCACTGTAACGGAGGTCCACTATAAAGAGAGCCACTGTGTATGTGTTTTTTTCGATATCAAAAGCTTTTTAAATGTCACAGTGAGTTTGCCTTTACATTACTTGCGCATAATACGTGTATTAGGAAGACGGTAACAATCGACTTGATCGATATTATTTTTAGCTCCTTTCCAATAACGTCATCGATCATGTATCTCGTTTATATTAATTGTTGATTAATATGCGTTCGCAGCATCCGAGAAAGTTAAGTTTATTATAACAAACTCTTATTATTCATGGGCGTGATCGTTAGCATCTGTTAACCTATAGTGTGAATATAGAAATGTTAAGTGTCTTTGATTATTTGAGATTACTACGCGAACTATAATAAATGATCATTATTTAGTAACATTATCTACATCTGCAGAAGCGAAATTCTATCAAGTCTGCTTATGTTTTATCATGATAAACTACATAGTTGGGTAAACCATAGACACCTTTTCCCATCTTCTTCACAAGCTTGGCAAATCCTTCAGTTTCGATTTGATGAGCGATCGGAATAGTGGGGAATATGCCACCCTCCCGATGAACATCCGCCCGAACTAAAAGGCAAGACCCACCAACACCATCGATTTCTACAAGATCTTTCTCGATATCACGTAAATCACCGAGATAGTTTCGATGAGTAGTGATTTCTGGATATCCTTCCACGAGTATCTTATCTTCATCAAGAGTGGTAAGAAATTTCATAGATTCTTTAGTCTCGATAAAATTATTCCTGTCATACACATACTCGGTATTCGTGTGTTTCTCACGAGCAAAGACGTTCGCAGATAACACATCTTTATCAAATGAAATCATATCTTCAAGCAAAGTGTTAGGATATGTGATGATGTCCACATCTAGCCACAGAACCCAGTCTTCATCGGTGAGAGCAGTGAACAAAAGATGGTTCCGAGACTTTGCAAGAATCTGTCGCCTTTGAACTTGCTGAGAGAACTTGTGTCGACTTCCGTGTTGTAGGAAATATTGAAAGTTTTTTTCAAAGACGCTTATTTTCCGGTACGTACCATTGTTCAACAAGGACGAAACTTCCTTCATCAGCAAATCTACGGTGTTGTCAGTACTGTCTGTAACCAAGTATACAAGTGATATGCGGTCTTTGGGAAACGTTAACTGCATTAACTTTTTGAAATACTGAGGAAGTTTAGCTGACGCATCTTTCAATGGTGTTAATATGAGAACGTTCGCTTTATCAGTCGGTGGTTTCGTCGGTGTGGCTATGGGATCAAACGAATGTAGGAAAAGCGTATCTTGCGTTGCATTTAGAGGACAATTGTGAATATGGGCTATCTTTCGGCCTCTATATGTATGAAACGTATCAGAGATTATGTAGAACACGACAGTTAAACCTGTTATAAAAGTTAATGCGATTATGATTTTTGCAAGTCGAGAAGGCATAACGGTTGATACGTGGGATTATGGTCAGTGGGGATTATGGTCAGCGTGATTTAAAGCTCAACATTTAACTCAATCTCACGCCCTGAGAATGTTAAAACGTCACCGATACCATAGTCTACGCGATTTGAATTTATTTCTATCCTAATAAAACATACTTCCTTTTGTTTGAGGTTTACGCCAACTCATTAGTCTAATCAGCGCGTGCTTTGTAGGGAAAAAGGCAAGACTTCCTCGTTTAAGAAATTTGATATTTCTTCCGACTAATCTACAACTATTTTATCGTTAACTATTTGCAGAATCAATCATATTTCTCATGCCGAAACAACCGCGAGCAAAAGAATCATTACCGAGAGCACATTGTCAAACCTCGATGAACCAAGTCACCGTTAATTGCACGATTAGTTGCCGTTCCCCCCGCATGGAATATAACAAGAGTTCTGCTCAAGTTGCGCTTACACAAGGAACTGATTATCCAATCCTCTTATTTGTTTGTGTGGCTTTTAATTCCGAGCGAACTGCTTTCAATGCTTCAATTGCGGCAAATGTCCATCAAGTGATATACTGTGGGGGCAACTACGATAAAGCGAGGTTTCGAGTGTTTTAGAATGGATGGTCCTGTAAAGAGGTAGTATCGTCTTTTGAATGTACGAGAGAACGGGATGGTCTGTTAGGAGGATTTTTTTGTTAGCGTGGTAACGATCAACATGTGAAAATAATCGGTGGCATCTACAAGCATCTTGATATGCAAGGGAATATGTGGCTGGTCAATAAGCAAAAGTAAATATTTGACTGAATCGAATATGTCCTCCATATTTATTGTTGTTAAGCTTCCCGAAATCGAAAGAGGTATGAGTCATCACAACCCGATAAACAGTCACTGAGAAAACGAACGACTTATCATTAGGAAAGCAGGCTCAAATGCCATGGCTGTAAAACGGTAAGACCCTCACAAGTGGACTATTTTAACCCATACCAAAATCAAAAAGTACCTGTCCTTATTATTCACTAAACCTTTAAAAATCGATGTAGTATATCAACGTATGGGGCTCATTTGCTTTGTGTTGTATCACGAAAGGCGCTTGTAACACCATGGTGGGTAATATTAATATTAATGGCAAAATGAAAAAGTTCGAAAAATTTCCAGGTCGCACAGAATGGTTCAAGTGTTCTGAATTAGGTCGACCCATTTCGAATAAGCACATATTTATTTCGACATTATCTCATAGATAATTGATTACATGTCGCTCATTGGCGTAGACAATGTGCTTATTCGGGGATGAACTTTTAAGATTTAACGTTAATTGTCATTCCAAGAAATTGGACCATTTTCGTGGTTTAGTCGTAACACAGAATGTCGGTGCCCATGATTCAATTATTGACCATTGACCACCAATAGTAGTGCATATTGTTTCGAATATATTGACAATGGAGATTATGCAAACACTGACAGCGGCTAAAGCGAAACATTGTTGAAAAGAATAACTATTTACGTTTAATAAGACTATATGGCCACACAACAACAGCCACAACAACAAGCTAACAAATGGCCTTTAGCAGATAATGGACGAAGTCCGTTCGTTGAAAAGATTGCAAGCATTATAAGGGCCGGGAGCCGAAACGTTTCAGAAAATGATATTTCTCAGCTCGCTCGCAAAATCGAATCGGCAGCATTTACTAATGTATGTTATACTACGTCACGTAGAGTATATAGGACATAACGTTCCATATTTCTACAAATCTCATGAATCAGTTCCTCCTAACCCTTTATTAACTCTATTTATGATATGACATTCATTTTTGTCGTAGTCATCGTCCATTCAAGATTATATTGGAACACTCAACGTAAGACTTAGTGAACTGGGCATGGCGACCATATATCAGCGTCAGCTTCGCCAGCAGCAGCAACACCAACAACACCAACAATTGCTGCTGCAGCAGCAGCAGCAGCCGCAACAACCACCACAATTGCAACCGCAACCGCAACCGCAACCGAAACAGCCACAACCACCACCACCACAACAACAGCAACAACAACAACAACAACAACAAACTATGCAACAGAACGGAGCACAACTTCAAGCCCAACAACAACTTAATGCTGTTCGCTATCGACTGCCCATAAATGATGCTGCTTTAGTTCAATATCTGAGAAATCCAGATGCATTACGACGACTACAACAACAACAACAACAACAACGGCAGCAACAACAACAACAGCAGCAACAGAAGCAACAAGAGCAGCAGCCACAACAACAACAACAGCAACAACAACAACAGCAGCAGCAGCAACAACAACAACAACAACAACAACAACAACAACAACAACAACAACAACAACAACAACAACAACAGCAGCAGCAACAGCAACCAAAGCAGCAGCAACAATCACAGCAGCAGCAACAATCACAGCAGCAACAGCAGCAGCAACAACAACAATCACCACAGCAGCAGCAGCAGGGGATCCAAGCATCAGGTACGCATTCATTAGACTCATTCATGCACAGAAACAACTTGAATGTATTGCACGTTTATTGTCTATCGCATTCATCATGCTATCCAACAATTATCCTATTAGCACTGACTAAATATTCACTTACATAGTACGGCCATATACGTCTATGACTACTGACGTACGTAGGCTTATGCTTATGATGGGTGGAGCTGGAGGCAACGCTGCACAGAAGATTGTTCGAGTTCCACAGTCGCTCGCCCAAACTGGCCAACAGCAAGGGCCGCAACCTGGTGCAATACCGGTTCAATTGCTACAACACCAGCAACAGCAGCAATTTTCCCAAACTCCCGTTGCTATATCTCAGTCCCTGAGCTCCCCTGTAAATACGTTTACTTCTTTGCCTCAAGGTGTAAATAATGTTCGGGCGAGTACAAATGTAAATATCTCCAATCTTAATGGAATGATTAACTCTCTTACACAACAGACAAACGTCGGCCAAATTCTAAATAATGTTAATCCGGCAATAACTACTCGCCAGGGAATTGGTCTCGCTAATCTCCAACAACAACGGCAGAATCACGCTCTTAATGGAGTAGTTGGTAATGTGAGTAGTAACTCAACACATAATGCAATTGGAACAGTACAGGGACTACAAATGAGTCCCAATAGTGCGGTTGGAATGTCTCCTTCGAAATCAACTATAACTACTCCCGCGGGAGTTCGACCGCCGCCAAATATAAATGTTCGACCAAATAATGTGCGCGTAATTTCACAGCCACAGCCACCATCACAGTCACCGCGACAGCAAATGCAAATTTTACAACAGACTCAGGCGTTAAAACAAGGGAATGTAGCTACGATTAATCGTTCTACTCAGCCAGTGAATGCGACGTTGATGGCTAATAATGCTGTTCCGCGACCAGGTATGAGGCCTGTTGCTAATGTTAATCAGCAGCAGCAGCAGCAGCAGCAGCAGCCGCAACAGCCACCGCCGCAGCCGCAGTCAAATACAACGACAGGGAGTGGAGAGTCGATTGCTGTAGCAGTGAAAAACGAGCAGTCACCTAGTATTCAAAATAGAAGACGATCTTCTACGAGCTCTGCCGGGAGAGCTGTTAAACCACCTGCACCCGTTACTCCTGGAAATGGTACCGTGTCAAAAGCTAATGGAACAACTGGAAATCCGAATAACTCTGTGGTAGCTAATCAAGCCGTTCGTGCAAGTATGTCTGCTACTACGACTGCTCAGTTAAAAAAACTGTCTGATAAAGAATACAATGATGCTGCCTCGCACGTTAAAGAGTCTGAGAAAAAGTCTAAGCGTCGAGTAGTTGTACATCCATTAAATTTGCCTGAAGAAGATATCCGTAAGATAGAGTTGTTCATTCCCGAACTACAGCGCCTGAACTCGGAAATGGACGAAACGCTCGTCTATTTTTGGCATTTTACTCGTAACCAGAGAGGTCTTGACAATGTCTTAATAAGTCGGTTTCTTATCGATGATTTTCTTAAAGGCTGGCAACAAAAGAAATATCATATGAAAGCTGATTCGTTAGAGAGTAGCATGAAGTATCTTAAAGATACTGTGAATACTGTTCGTAATTTGCGCCAAGGCAAACAGGATGAATCTTATGCACATTTAAACAAGAGCCCAGTAATGAATCAGTCAGACATTGAAAATCTACTTCCAAAGAAACAAATCGACCTCAAAATTCCGGAAAAACGAGAGAGACATGTTAATTCAGGGCCTAATAAACGGTTAAGGAATTCTGCACATGAACAAATGAGAAGATCGAGCGTTATAAGTCCTGTAGATGAATTAGACAATGAGGAGGAGGAATGTAGTGTCGAAAAGATGGAGAATACATTCACAAAGATAAAGTTAATGTTGAAGGACGCTGCAGAAAAAGAGAGGGAGAGAGAGACTAGGAACAAGAATAGATTAGGAACAGCCACCAGAAACGACCGCGTGATGATTGAGGGACATGTTGCTCCTCCCAGGCTGTTGGATTCTACCAAAGTATTTGTTGGGCTTGGCAGTGCTATATGATAAATGGTGAACAGGTATATTGTTTATTTCATGTGGTTCATACTTCATAACCGTTTTGATTTCTAGACTTTTGTTATAGTATAATTGGACATTTGGGTTGGTTAATTATTATTTTGTTTGCTGTATTCTTGTGGATAATAATAATCTTTTAAAGAGTTTGCAGGTATCACATCAATAAACATCGCTGCCACCATAAATTTATTCAGACTGCAATAACTGTTTATTAGCCCCAAATATATTTTTTTTGTACACAGATAAAATCTCAGTTCATTTACGATATGGGATTATGGTATTTACAGCACTTTCCAAGTTGGCTCATTATTCTCGACAACAACCTCTACGATTTTACCGTGAGGAACGGGAATAGCGCCTGTTGTCCAGTCGAGCAATCGTCTAAATACAATGACTAAATTAGAATACGTTCAAATGATGTGATAAAACTCGGTTGAAATGCTATACACACTGAGTTATTGCATTCAAAGGAATCAAGGCCGGCATATTTGATTGCCTGTTAGCTGGAGTGTCAATAGCGGCACTGAACGTAAATTCATAACATGTTACGTAACGGGGGCCTTTATCAAATAAGAAAACGGGAGGATTTTGGTTTTGCTTACGGTGACAAAGAAACAACTTTGGCATCTTTCGGAAGTCCACTGCCAGGGGATGCCAAACTACGCACTAGATGATGTATTCCGGCTTTAGCGACACCATATCCGATATATCCTGTACAAACGAGATGATTTAGTAATCAATTGAAATCTTTTGAATCATGTTAGTGCCATTGCTAGAGTTACCAGGAGTAGAAGTTAAATTGGCTGTTCCGGTTAGAGTTATAAGACCACCTCTGAGGGTGGAAGCGGTGGCAAAAGCGCATGACAGGCAATACGATTAATTTTACGGGCTTTTGGTTCAACGCAAAACGTAGTAAATAAAAATATTCATCAGCATAACACAAACTCTTTCAAGTATTTGGCCGCCAGATGAGATGCGATTAAAGCAGGATTCAATGACTTATTAAGATTAAAGGCCGCTGAAGCCAGAAAACCTATAAATTACGTACGACCCGTGTTAACAGAGAGATAATACGTCAACACAGAAATACCACCTATTATCTTATTATATTTATATAGTACCGTCACTCGCAGCATTGCCACCAGCGAATCCTCCCGCAACACATATAATGGCATCAAACTTTTCGCCTTCTTTTAGTAATAACCCTGCTTGTTGAATCACCTTTTCTCCTTGAGATTCGATCGAATCATCAGCAGATACTAGGATATTATGATTCGCTTCCGGGTTTAACTTGGTTCCAATCGAAATGATATTCTGTTTGGTTGCAAACAAACACATGCATGCAAGACATTTGAAAATAAGCTACCTACATATTATACAAACAAATCTAGTATACATTTGTATAATGCTTACGTATACAGGACTCTCGTGTTTTCTAAGCAGACTAATCGTAGCTTTGCCCACGGCACCCGAACCTCCAGATACTACCACAGTAGGCATCATATTGTAAGGGTCACGGAAAGGCCAAATGTGAGAATATGTATGGGTGGCACAATATAAGCTGTTGATTAGCCGACAGCATCATAATTGATTATCATTTGCTTTTTTAGGAGGAACAATTCTTGCCCACCACTATGAAAAATGCTTGATGTTGATTCATTTAAAACGCCATGCCGATCACTAGCCATGCATGCATAAAACCAGTACCATATGTCCAACGTTTCTCAATGAAATATTAATGTATAATGTGCATGCCTTCACCCTTATCTTCCAAACTGCTTAACTAACCCATCAAAGTTTTTTTTCTTTAAAAACCGTTTATTTTAATATATTGTATTTTCTCTAATAATTTAAAGTCTAATAAAACGAGTTTAGCTACAACATGACTCTAGCGGAGATGGACAGAAATCCTGTGGAGGAGGTTAAACTGTTTGTAAATGGAGAGATGGACAAGAAAGTGCCACAACAGTCTCAATCAACACCAAGTGAACAGTCCTACGCCAAGAGCATGTTGCCTATAGCCTGCTACTGTAGTGCTAGTATACTGATGACTATTACGAACAAATATGTTCTATCCGGATATGATTTTAATATGAACTTCTTGTTACTGACGGTGCAGGTACAGCTTGAGTTTATATATGTGTTGTATTTACGTGTTTTGTAACGCGTTAAATTGTATATCCGGAAGACTATGTATTAGAATCTTTCGTAATTGGACGTGGCCGTCTTTCTTTTTTTTCCGATTCAGCGATTTGAGACAATATCAGACGCTAAGAGGATAATACAACACAAAAACATGAATATTCATTTAAATACTTGATTTCTCCTCCTTCCCTGTTCAGGCTGTTGTATGCGTAGTGTTTCTTAAACTATTTAAGACATTCAAGCTTATTACATATCGTAACATAGACTATGATATAGCAAGGAAATGTAAGCCATTCTATTCGAATAGTATAATTTTCTTTGCAAATGCTCAAATCTGGTTTACAAATCAACTCATTTTTTCCTGCCATAGGGATAACTGTAGTATTATTATTAATTTCTATGATCTATAGTGCAACAAAAAGGTATGAGCAAAAAACACAGTCATTTATGATATCGGTTTTGATGGCTGATTATCTAACTTCAATACTTTCTTTTCCATCTAGCTTGCAATTCCTGTCGATTCCCGTGTACACTATTTTCAAAAACCTAACTATAATACTTATTGCATACGGCGAACTATTGTGGTGTGGAGGTTCAGTCACGAGGCTGATGTTAGTGAGCTTTGTCTTAATGGTAAAGCGACGACCGACGGGTTATTCTAGAATATGCTTTATTTCTGCTATCAATTTACTTTCCATTTGTTCATTAACTTGTCTCCGCCCACTATCCAACAGGTACTGTCTTCTATAATTGCTGCATGGCCAGATATAGGAAACTTGATGGGGAATGTAGAGCTATCCGTTGACGACATCGGATATGGATGGATGCTGTTCAATTGCTTGTGTTCTGCTGCGTTTGTATTGACAATGAGGAAGCGCATCACCGTAACGAAATTCAGAGACTTTGATACTGTCTATTATAATAATTTATTATCCGTTCCATTATTGATAATGATGAGTTGGATCGTCGAAGACTGGAGTGTTGAGAATCTACGAAAGACTTTGTAAGTATAGCGAGTGATAACAGTGGAGTTTAACAACACTGTACTTATATTAATATAATTATCCTCTTTTGTAATCATAGTCCAGAGGAAGTTCGCGCTACTATTATATCTGCTATAGTGTTTTCTGGGATGTCCGCCTTTGCCATTTCGTTTACTACTGCATGGTGCTTACGAACTACTTCGAGTACAACATACTCCATGGTGGGCGCATTGAACAAACTTCCCATCGCCGCAAGTGGCATGATATTCTTTGGAGATAAAGTAACATTTGCAAATGCTTCGGCAATTCTAGTTGGTAAGATGACCTTAATATTGGATCAAGTTATATACGAAAAGAGTCGATTATTTTATTTAGATGTCAAATTGTGTTACATTCATCTATTGTACTAGGATTCACTGCCGGAATAATATACTCATATGCGAAGGCCCAACAGCAAGCGATTGCCAGTAAAACAACCAGTTACATACCATTATCCACTAAACAAGAGAGTCAGAATGGCATTAATAACAAATGATACGTATAAATATAATACTATAGTTCATAATGTTTCTCCGGTGTATATTAATCACCTAGATAATATTAGTATATGGATATTGACGAAAAGTGCTGGCTTCTTATACGTTATATAATATCTCACTCAGAAAATGATTTCCAGTCCATTGAAAATAGTACAATGAAATAATACTTTGCATATCACAATATATCACAATTCAAACTAGATACAAACATTTGTGACAAGAGGCTTGATTCGCACAATGGAAAACTCACCTGACCTAAGCTACGCCACATTTGAATAGTACATCCAACTTGCTCGGACTATGGTAGCAGGAATACTTCAGACACTTCTTCTTATAACATTCCTTTTTCGATGTTAATCAAAGCAAACACGGTCCAAGAAATAGGCTGCATGGTCAGCTTATACTTTCATTGGGATGTGTTCAAAGAATAATCTAAGAATTCTCGATAATAAAGATTCGTTACATTCAATAATCTTGGAAATTTCTTCTTTGGCCTTCTCTGGTAATACATCGTCAATGCCGCTTCATTTCTCTTCTATAGATTTGATTTCTTGGCTTTGATGGTTCTTGTAAACATGGGAATAGTTATGATTTCATGGACAAGGCCACTGCAGAGATTTCAAATTATCAATTATTTTCATTTGAATCCCAAAGGACAATTAGGTCTTCATGTTCGATGCAAGTCTGATGCCTTAATGTCGGACGACTTCTTATTTAAAACACTCTTCATGAATAGCTTGAGGGCGAAGGATCGCAGTACATTCCATCTTGCGTAATTTGCTTCTCTCTAGTTTTCTTTAGTTTTCATTTTCGAATACGACCGCAAGTTTTCATTTCATTTGCTTGTTCATGTTCTCGATAAGTTTTCGGTGCGGCAGATTCATGAACGATTTCCCATATAACTGCTTTTAACCAAACTTAAAACTCACAGCATTTATTCGACTCACCGCTATGATAAGAAGAAAAAGGAGAGGGAGAGATGTAGGTAGAGAGCATGTCGAGGAAAGGAGGGGAGAGGAAAGGGAAAAGCAGAAGAGAAAACGGGGAAATGAAAGAAAAAATAGGGACCATCAACAGCACAAACCGTATACATCCACCTATCGATTAGGCTTATCACAGACTTCCGACGATTGTATCGTTGTATGTGTGAATTCTTCACTTTTAACTTTTGAATTTGAAATTCGCTATGGAGAATTACTTAGCTCTTGTATCAACTACACCTCACCCTTCATTGACACGGCACCCGAATATTCTCTTGCATTGTTTCGTTACTGCCTGGAATAAACATTAACAACTCTATAATATTCACTAGCAGAAAATATACACAAAGCATATAATTGAGAAAGAATTCAGTCCGACAAACGAAAGGCTACGATATTTGATTGTGTTTATAAAAAAAGACACTAATTAGTATTGTATATACAATTAATAGCTGAAATAGGAATGATGCTTGTCTTATCAGAAAAAAACTACTACTGCAGTTAGCGGCTCCATGTTGCAGTAGCGCTCGTCCATCGAACACTTACCAGGTTAGCGCGAATAACTTCGAGATCTCCTTGATCTGCTCCAAGATCTTCGGTTGCGGCTAATACTGCGGGACTTCCTTCGAGGACGAGACCAACTACGACTGCGAGATCTATCACGACCACGGCTACTCCTACGATAACGGGGGGAATATGATGGCGATCTACGGAAATTACGACGTCTCCCACCGCCTCCACCGCCGCCTCCACCTCCACGACGATCTCCCATATATTCTCCAGGTGTCGGTGTGTGTGCTCTTTGAGTGAGAGAATAGTCGACACGCATATTTCTGCTGTTCAGTAACTAAAGTAAAGACCAAGAAACAATTAACTAATTGTCAGGTGCGGTTTAAAAAAATTCATATAAGAATAAACAAGTGTACCATCCCGTTTGTTTTATCTTTTGCGAGAGTTGCATCTTCAACCGAATCCATGTACACAAACCCAAAACCACGAGAACGATCGGTCTAGAGAGAGGTAAACAAATGATTAATAAGAGTATGTTCTTATCGAACAAATTTGTCTTGTAAAGTGCTCCTTTTTTTTTTGCCATTTATTTCTGCGGCCTTGCTGTTATTATCGTTAACTTTACTCACCCTATGATCATAAACAATCATGACTTGATTGACTTTGCCATATTGTTCAAATATTTGTTGTAAATCTCTCTCGCGCGTCTTTAAACTTAGATTAAAGACACCTAAAACATGACTTGGGGCAGGTTGCTTTAAATGCGCAAGAACTATAAGTCAAAAGTTCCACGAACAGCCGGTAACGAAAACGACTTGGCACAGTAGTTATACTTACATCTCTACGCGACCTCCGACGTCCTCTGCTCAGCTCACGACTTCTACTTCGCTCACGACTTCGATCACGATCTCTGATAATATATTTTAGAAAACATAAAAATCGTGTTCTCTTAACTATTTGTACGTATAATCAGACAACTTACCGTCGCGTTCTGCTTCTGGACCTGCTATCCGAGTCTCTTGAGTATGAGCGACGTCTATGACGCCTTGAATTTCGCCTTTTGTCACCTCGACTACGAGAACGACTTGCTGAAGACGACTGACGGTGAGACCGGGAGCGAGCACGAGTAACAGAAGCGTCTCGATCACGTCTAGTTGAATCCCCGTTCATGGATGAAGACAATGGTTGCTGAAGAGGGGATCCTTTTGACTCTTCCAAGTCTTCTTTCATGTAACTATCTTCTTTAGTACTAGGATGTTCTTGGTCGAGCGAAGACTGCGACGTCAATAGAGTAGATGCGCTGTCAGTAAATGATTCATGCGATAGGCTTGTGACAGTTACTAAATAAATTTACGTTGTCGTTAATCTTATAGTCACCGCTGTTAAGCTCTGTCTTCTCAGAGATCTTAAGCTCGGTATCTGCCATACTCTACACAACGTATGCCAAATCTGGACAGAGTAAAGCGCGATTAAACGCAACGAGTTTTTTTTTTAATGAGATAAAAGGGGTGACGGAAATCAAGGTTACAGAATTGGGGATCTAAACCTCTGTGCATCTGTTCCAGTATCCCTACTCTTACATTAGGAATGAAAATCCAGTTTGTCTACATAAAAGTATTTGTTTGAATGCTAACAGCCCTTGCACATTGAACTCTGTGGGGTTTATCATGAGGGAAGGATTGAAAGGCATCCACGACTCTTTACACCGAACACCATCACACATCTTGTGATGGATAGTTTAATAGCAACAGAAATGGCTAACAATTGTCTTTATCGTCTCGTTTACACTGTTATAGTACGGATCCTGTTTTTCAATACTCACTTAGCATTAGAGCTGATATAAGCATCTTTTTTTATTTGTGTAGTTTACCAGGCACTGTAGCCATTTCCAGCCTACGTACATTCTCCTTTCTCTCAATTACATTCTAATAATCATCAATTTCACCCCAACTGTTCGCTTCAAACATTATAATCATAAAAAGCACAGCTATGGTTCCACATTGTTCCAATGGATGTTGATCGCACGTACAATGCCAACGCCCGAATTAATATTAATTGTTCCAAAGGAATGGTTGATATTTCTGGGTGTCTAAAGGATACGAGTCTGCTAGTGACTTGGTAATGGCGCACGCTCACATGATTCTTATTTGATTAGTATTAGCCTCAACTGTGGGTTGGGTGTGGTAGACATTTTCTGTCCCAGTGACACAACAGAGTGTCAAAAACGTCCGCAAGCAAAAGCACGTCTCGAGATCATGGTACTCTCAAAAATTTGTCATTCTATATTTTTCGCTCGTTAAATAAATAGAACAAAATCTTGGTTTTCCATGAGTTTGTCCAATCAGCTCATAATATATTGCGCAGGGCCCTTTTATTATGGTTATAGACCCAATTTAATATATAAAGTTTGGTTGTTGTGTACAAAGTGTTTCGATGTGGGTGGTGGATTTAATTAATCCATGCAGTCGTTCGTCGAACCATGATTTTCGTTACAGACGAGATTTATTATTGAGCACTGTCTTACAAAGAGCCGAAAAAGCTACTCTCTGTTGAAACTTGTAAACGTTTTTCCTGCAATTGATTGCATCTTCTTACGCATGTATCAACTTCAACGTAAGACATGTAAGACCAATGAGAGTATTTATTACTCCATGTACCAAAAATAAAAAGTTATGCCTATCAGTGATACTCTAATGTCTTTGGGTTTGTCACATAACGCATTATATTAATGCTATTTAAAAAAGATCCGTAGCCATGTCCCCACGCGTACGATTATAATCAGGCAGGGCTTCGACTGTAAATTAATAATTTAAGTGAGAAATGGTTTTAGTGGAACGAGCGAATCATATTAAAAAACTCAAGACAAGATACTCGACCTGGACCAAGTCCAACAACAGCAACATCTTGGTCCCATAAGTACTCCCCGGCAACACGTCTTATGTCGTTAACAGTTATTTTAGATAAAGTAACATCGACATCTTCTGGGGTAAGGCGCTTTCCAGTGGTTATAAGTTGTCGACCAATATCTTCAGCAACAGCTGTTGTGCCATCAAGACATAACAATAAAGAAGCCTTTAGTTGCTGTTTGGCACGCTCAACTTCGGCTTCGGTAACAGATGTGTACAATCTACAAAGAACGTACGAATGCGTCAGACGCGAATAAAAAAAAGGAGCGCGTATTCCAATAAAATTTATTGATACCTCCAGAATTCCTTGCAAGTGAAATGTACCAAGTCATCCAACTGATTTTTGTTTTCAGATATAAGATAAATGCCAAATAGTCCAGTATCACTATAACTTGTATGAAAAGCTTGGAATGAATTAGCCAACTTGTGTTTGTGAATAAAATATGACAGACGAGATGACAAGTTTGGAGCAGATCCTAGCGAACGATCCCACGTGCCAATTATAGATTGGGCAACTAATAACGGATAATAATCGGGTGACGTCCATCCAACGCCTTCGACGGCGAGTGCGATATGGGCCTGAGGTAATTCATCATTCCGAATTCGAACTTCAGATCCGGTAAACTTTGGCGCTTCTCCGTGTTTGGCAGTTAACGGGTCTGAAGATTTCCCAGACAAACCTGAAAAGTGTTTGTCAGCTAACTTGACTAGTTCTTCATGATCTATCCCACCAGTACCGACGAGTACCATACGATCAGCCGTATAGTTTTCAGCAATGTAGTTTACGAGATCGTTCCGTTTCAAGGATAGTATGTTCTCTTTGGGACCCAGAATAGTTCGACCCAAAGAATGACCTGTAGAACAAGCACGAATTGACAATAGCATCTTCTCAGAAAATATTATAAAATTTAAATACAGCAAAAAAAAAGCCATCAAAATAATTTTGAATTGCCAAACCATTGAAAGAATCTCACATCATGACCACATTCATACCTTGAAAAGCAGTGGCATGCAAGTGGTCAAAGACTACTTCTTCGTGCAATTTATCTACCTCCTCTTGCTCTCTTAAAATCACATCTCGTTCACGGTTAATCGCATCCTCTTCCAGCGTGGAATTTTGAATAATGTCAGAAAGGATCTCAACCGCAACCGGTACATCATTTTTAATCGTCTTTGCATAATAAACTGTTTGTTCTCTCGAAGTGTAGGCATTAAGATGGGCACCAATATTTTCGATAAAAAGTTCTAATTGATGTTGGCTGCGATGTTTTGTTCCCTATCATACAGATTAATTAAATTAGCGCTCATTATCGGTTCATTTCATATACTAGAACGCATACCTTGAAAGCCATATGTTCAAGGAAGTGTGCAGCGCCATTGTTTTGTGCTGTCTCAGCACGACTGCCTGCATTTATCCATACTCCCACTGTTGCCGTTTGCACGAAAGGATTTGATTCAGTGGCAACTGTCAAGCCATTCGGCAAAACCGTCGAGCGCCATATAGGTTGTGAGAAATTGGTCTCTGTAGCAAATGGTCGAATGAACTAGAAAATAGTCAAATAGTCGGTAAACATATTTCCAAATCGGAAAATTGGGCAGTTATGGCGAACAATTAGGTCCGGCTTGATAAAATCTTATTTGGACGTCAAAAAAAATTAGCAAACAGAATAAATGCTATAAAGTCGAGTTACTAAAAACATAGTCGCTACCAATATGAAAAAACGAATCTAAAGGCGGCGATCAAAGTGAATACCTGACTGCCCAAACTACGGCGAATGGAGCTTTTTAAAGCGCTGGAAAATAGGCGGGAGGCCATGTGTGTTGGATGCAAATGCTGAATTGATGGATACTAATACTAAAAATTTTGTCAATTAGATACGTGGCTTGATGTGGCTCTCATCTACTGATGTGGCTTGTGGCTGGATATGTTCAATATTAAAGGTCCGTAGCTTCCAGGCCGCTTAACCCGTCAAGCCTAAAAACTTTCCGAAATGTCTGCTAATGTTGAAAAACGTGAGTATTTGGAAAAGAAACAGAATACTACGAATATTTATACTAAATATATACAATTTTTGCTAGTCAGGTCTAGCGTCAGCGAACTCGAACGCCTGCTCGATCGTTTAATGTCCGAGGGTAAACGCGCAATTTTATATAAATAGTAAATCTACACTTGGATAGAATGTGAGCACATAGGGTTGTGAATTTGATAAGATATTGCATCGAATATGCGACTTCTATATTCTACTTGCTTTGTTGTATTACAGAACAACATGATTTAGCCACATCTCTTCCCTCCTTAATTTCTGGTCTCGAAAGCTGCCGGCAATTGCTGGGTGAGGCTTTAGTTGACGCAAATACGCGAGTTCATGTATGGGATCAAGTCCGGAAGGCCGGTCAACTTTGTGCGGAATTGGCTAAAAATGGTGGATATGGTTTCAATGGATATGGTTTCAATGAGTTGTTTGTGGGGCCACTTATTAATTATTAACAAAACCTAGTGAAGGCTCGAGATCCAATTGGTTCCTCTGGTGCTATCGAACTTCTCGTCACTTTCTTGATGCTGAATACAACAACAGAATTCTCGTTAGTCGATCACCATTGTCTTCGAGCGATTGCTAACCTGTGCATAGATCATGGTGAGTCAAACTCAATGAAAAAACTGTTTGATGCGAATATATCGTACCCGTGAGTGAGTTCAGACGTTGTTAACCACAGAGCAGAATCGCAAGCGAATGCTAGACGCTGGTGGCGTTAAGGCTGCATCGCAAATCTTGACCAAATATGAAGATTTAATGCTTTTGAGAACGGCGTGTGGAACCTTACTGAATGCTGGTCTCGAATATGGTAACGTTATTAAAAGTTAACTGCGTGTTGGCGAACGTGTCGGTTGAATGATAATGTTACATTGTTTATGATAAACAGATCCGGTGAACATTGAGATTTCTAAAGTTGGTGGGGTCCTGCCATTAGTACGCCTGCTTTCACCAGATAATTTTCTACGGAAGGCAGATGATACAGATCTCGCAATTACTGCCGTGCATTTTGCTACGCGAGTTGTGTTGAATGTTGCTGGGACAGGTAAGAACTATGTTTGTGAGAACTCGATATACTTATGCCTACATATTAACTTTCGACTGCCAATTAATTAACAGAAGAAGGAAGAAAAGAACTCGCCAATATTGAGGCCATTTCGGCTTTGGTACAACTTTTGAGTTATACATCATCTCCGACTGCAACTGAGGATGATGCTGATATCTTGGATAATGTTGCTGAAATATTAGAGATTATGGCTTTGGAAAATGGTTGGTATGCGATTACGTTCTTTGAAAAGTCTCAAAGTATCCAAATTCACTCTTACTTGCCACGTCTGTTAGATGAAACCCAACAGATTATCGTTCAGAACGGTCTCTTTACACCACTCTTAGACTATTTGGAGTTTGCCGAACCGCCAAAGACAGCGGATGAGCGTCTTGATAAATTGTATGGAGAATGGAAAGCGGCTATTTTGAAAGTAATAGTTTCTGCTACAATGAATGGTACGGTAAATTTACATTGCAAAAATACCCATCAATTATTTATCGTAAATTAAATTTAACTTTTGTTAACAGACAGGAATATGGATATTCTATTCAATGATACGGCTATACTTCAGCGATTTTTTAGTTGGCTTACTCGCGGACCCGATCGCGATGATCTACAGGCGTGTGCTGCCTTGTCATTAGGCAACCTTGCCCGCTCAGGTGTGCTATTTCGCTTGGTATCAGCTAACCGAACGTGCAATGGATCACTGACTGCGTCTTGAACATATCTAGACGAGCACTGTATTAGACTTGTACAGAAAAATCGAGTGATAGAACCATTGATTGATGCTCTGCGAAATTCGGAGAATATAAAAGTTCAACATGCAATTGTTAGCTTATTAAAGAACTTGTCACTTCCAGGTAATTTTATTCGTTTGTCATATGAAATGACAGTTGTCGTTCGCTAACATCGTTAATTCTATGATATAGCTACCAACAAATCGATTATTGGATCTCTTGGTGTCATTGAGCTTGTCTCTCAAATATTGGCAAAACAAACTATACAGCCTGTTCAGTTTGGAGTAGTTGGCATCCTCAAACATCTTTCTTCGTTAAATAGTATGTATAACATAATGCTTGCACAAAGGTAACCGCCTTGCTAATCAAGTTATTGTCTTGCAATTAGTACAAAACTCGAAACGTATTATGGGGGGTGATAATTCTGCGGACACTAGTGTAACTACCCCTTTGGAACGCCTTATGACATTGATTAAGCACACTGACGATATGCCTGTACGGAGCGAAGGCACTCGCATTCTGGTTAATCTCATAAAGAATTTATGGGGTAAAGACGTGGGTTCACAATTAGGTATTATATGTGAACTTTGTCATTGCCGGATAGAACAGATTTTGGGTAGCTACAAATATTCTAATACCGTCTTCGACAGACACGAACTCCATCAACGATCTCCGCAAGAAATTGAATACTGCAGAAGTTGTTAAGCATATTGAGACGTTGATTATAGACTCTAAATATCCTGTGCTGCAAAATGAGGGCGTGATAGGCTTGACTATGCTTGTTATGGACGATTCAGCTACTGCCGAAGGTACGTGATATGTCGCCCTATTGCTTTATGCAGCATAAATTATACATTAACTGTCTAAAAATTAAACAGGCAATACCAATCCTGCGTTGGATGCTCTGACAACTGACTCTCCTCGCAAGCAAACTGAACAACAGCAAATGACCGAAGAATCTGCTGGTGAAGCTTTGTCTGCATCCTTGCTTGATACGTTGGTTGCTGTCGTGGTCAATAAGTCCGACAAATATCCTGACGAGATTAGAGGCAATGTTTGCATTTTACTAGAGAAGACAGCAAGTGCAGCTCATGGTTCTCGTAAGTAATTGTATTCGTAACATGAATTAGGACAGCTGAAGTTTAACCATTTTCTTCACATTGTAGGAAAGCAATATTTGCGCGATCGAATCCTGGTTGCCTTCAAATCATTATTGGAACAAAATGGAGCTAAGCCGATCTCTGAATCAGTCAAGGATAACGTGGAGAAAGTGTTGCTTTGTTTAGATCAATAAGCGTGATAATTATTCGAGTTTCTCAGGGGTTAGTTAATTTTACATTAAACCACGAGAAATATATAAATTAGTCGTGTCAAATTTATTTTTATTTTATTATGACAAATGACCATAATTTGTTCAATTAATTTTGGATGCATACATGCAAGAAATACGCATCATCTTTGCATTTTCATGTTGTGGAGTAAATAAAATATATGAAAGAAATAAAAATATACGAGTATCTAATAATGACGCTCAATGATCAAGAATTCTAAGATTTCCACTGACTACCTTGTTCTCAAGAATAGCACCTGGAGGAATGTCGATTCTACTGCCATGATTCGCTACGATGATCACAGTCCCCCTCAATTGAACACCAGCCCCAAAAGTCACATCCCCCGTAACTGTGAGATGATCGAGCTCAAGAATATGTGGTGGCGATTCGAAGCGACTGAGGAAATTGAAAACCTAAATAGTTATCAAGAGTATATTACCAATGAGACATACTTCTAAAATAGTTAACTAAGTTTAAAGCAAATACAGTTTTCCATGGTAGATATGTCCTCAATTACCTTCTTGAATTCGTCACCGAGTTTCACTAATGGAACCGTAGGGAAGACCCTTTGCGGATTCATCCTGAGCTCACCGTGATGCAGCGAATATAAGTCAGAAGTAACAAGGAACAAATCGGAAGTTGATTTAACGGGCAAAAACCGCTTTCGCGGCACATTGATCCCATGAGCATTCTTGAAATGCTTGATACCAGCACCAACAGCAGTCTCTAATTGAAGAACTTTGACTCCCGAATCAAGTGTCTTATTATTAACAATAACTTCTAATTCGAGTTCTTTGTTATCGATGACTCGCTTGATAGCCTTCAAACTCATCCAGAGATTGTTGGTATTAAAGATTCTAAACTTTTTAATTGATTTAAAATCTTCAATATGCCCTGGCGGGACTTGAGCTACTTCTAGCAGTTGTATTACACCTTCATAATCAATTAGCGTACCACCCTTAATATCCGCCCTAGTTTTATCTGTGACCTCCATGATAAATTCAGAGTCCGATTCAACCATATGATTTAGGATATTCAAGTCAACCACTGCACCAAGATTATCGACGTTTGAGACGAAAAGGTACTCCTTTCCTTCGGAAAGTAATAGATCTACTAAACCGGAATTCACGAGCGATTCGTACAAGTCACCGTGACCTGGAGGATACCTTAAATAATGAATAGTTTGGGAGGTCACATTGGCGAGTCTTAGTCGGTATAATGTAAAAATAAATAAACGACAAGAGGGATATGTAAAGCAATAAATTAACAAACCATCCGCTGCTATCATCGTTGGGTGAACGTGGCATCGGAAGAAACGACTCCTTATTCACACGAGGATAGCGTGATTGATTGAAAGTGAGAATGCGGACATTTTGATTGCCATATTTTTGGACAATGCGTTTGGTCTCCTCGTCCGTATTGAAAGAATTCATAAGTATAAAGGGTACATTGACCTTGTATTTTTTGTTCAAGTACTATCAATGAATTA